TCCTTTGCTGAGCCTGTTGCCCGCAAGACATGTTGCTTGATCGCCTCGTAATGTCGATCAAGAATGACCCCTCGTCCTTTCAAATTTGAAAGTTGATTGAGCTCCTGTAATGTCTCAAGGGGTTAGGACATGTTGCCCCTGCATGCACCTCTTTTATGGATATTCTGTAATACCCTGGCACAGCAGTGGTGTAGAGGCTGTGTCGTCGACGATAGTCGAGGTGATGACACGTGCGAGGGGGTAGCCTGGAAGACGAGAATCCTTCCACGGAGTGAAGAGGATGTTGAGATATTGGAACACTAGCGCTTAGGTGGCCAACACCATCCGGAAGGATCACACGAGAGAGTGAGCTACTCGGCTACCAAGCACCACGCAGAGAATCCTGCGAGAGTTATTCCTCCGCATACACATACGTATACGTTACATTCGAACCGACATTCGAACAGACACAAATGAGATCTACGATATACAAGAGCAGTGCTACAGAACATTGACTCATGCTGGCTGTGTGCTAACATTTCCATAACACTCCCCTTCAATGAAAGTTGCTCTGAATTGTACCAAACTACAGTGATGAAAATCAAATCAAGCAAGTACTCGTTTCCTGCGTACCGTAACTTCTTCGTTTCATGCGTTTCAACAACTAACCTACCAAGTGACATTTCATGTTTTGCACGTGCTACAACATATTCAGCGCTTGCAAAAAGTACCTGCAAATTTTTCTTGCATAAACCAAAGCACCATAACGTTCAATCCTACATGGCTCCTTGAACCAGTGATGGTGCGAGGCCGAATGCTGACTACCGAAAGAATACGCTGATTCACACAAACAGAACAGATGCAAAAATACTTCGTGACAAACACACAAACAAAAACACGATTACTTGAACTTGTTGCTGATGAAGTCGTTGACGTTGAAACTGCTGATGATGTCCAGCAGGTGTTTGAGCCGATGCTTGTTAAGATGCTTTGTCCCGATGTCGGCAGGGTTGCTGTCCGTCGGGATGTAATGGATCGATATCCGTCCTTCCGATACTAGCTATCGGATGTAAAAGAAGCGAAGTGCGATATGTTTTGTCCTCGAGCTGAAGGAGCGGTTTCCCAGCGCGTGAAGCGTCGCCGTGTTGTCGCAGTACAGCGGCACTTGCGCAAACTCCTTACCAGTCCCTAGCTCAGTTAGCATGTTAGAACAGAACATGCTTCCTTCATGGCTAGTGCCGATGCAATCAGCTCTGCCTCCATGGTAGACATGGCAGTTGGACCTTGTATTCCCGACTTATAACTCACCGGCTNGCGTCGCCGTGTTGTCGCAGTACAGCGGCACTTGCGCAAACTCCTTACCAGTCCCTAGCTCAGTTAGCATGTTAGAACAGAACATGCTTCCTTCATGGCTAGTGCCGATGCAATCAGCTCTGCCTCCATGGTAGACATGGCAGTTGGACCTTGTATTCCCGACTTATAACTCACCGGCTCATTTCCTAGCATCGTCAAGTAGCAAGAGGTGGACTTTCCGTTGTCCGGGTTATTCGCCCAGTTGGAGTCTGAAAAGGTCGCAAGCTTGAAGCCTCCACTCTTGTATGTGATTCTAAAATCCGTTGTTCCGGCCACATAGAGAACAGTGTTCACCTGCCACCATGTGGATCTTGCTGGGTTTTGCCATTGGGCGGGCCAGTTGGCCCGTAGCGTACATGATGTCGTAGCGGAGCACTTGAGCGATGTACATCAGGCACCCCACGATGTCCTGATAACGTCCGGTTTCCTCCTCGCCTAGCAGAGTGTCCTCTGGTTGCTTTTTGGAGAGCTCTGAACCATAGCCAGGCGTGCTGGTCGGTTTGCATTCCGACATCCCGAACCTCTCTAAGATGGACTTGGTATACGCTTTCTGGGAAATGTCAGGGTACCTTGGTTGCGGTCCCTCTTAATTTCCATGCCCAAGACAAGCTTCACCCCTCCCATGTCTGTCATATTGAACCTTTGTTTCAGCTTCTTTTTGATCGTTGAGATGGCGTTGGAGTTGTCACCGGCTAGAAGGAGATCGTCAACGTAGAGCGTCAGGTAGACTTGAACATCGTCGTGGTCGTACAGATAGATGCAAGTGTCAGACTTGAGCGGAACGAAACCTATCTCAACAAGTAAAGGGTCGATGGTGTGGAACCAGTTGCTGGGGCTTTGGGCCAGCCCGTAGAGGCTCTTCTGTAGCTGCATCACTAGATCACCTCCATCCTTGTTCTTGACCTCGAAGCCAGGTGGCTGTTCGACGAACACGTTCTCGAGGATGTCAGCGTAGAGGAAGGCTGTGGACACGTCCATTTGATCCAACTCCAGGTTGAACTGCACGGCTGTGCACGCTAGCATCCGAATGCTCTGTAACCTGCACACCGGCGCGAAGGTGCTGCCGTAGTCCAGTCCAGGCACTTGGTTCCAGCCTTGCACCACTAGACGCCCCTTGAAGGAGCCGTCTGCCTTACGCTTGAACACCCATTTGGACTTTATCCGCTTCCTTCCTGGGGGAACTGCCGTGCGCGGGACGAGCTTGTGAACTTGACGTTCCTTGAGACTCGCAATCTCGCGCTCTGCAGCTGTGTTCCACTGTTCTCCGTCCGGCATGGCCCTTGCCTCTTCAATCGTTTGTGGAACATCCGGTTGGGATGCCCCCATAGCGTACGCGTATTCCGTGAAACCAAAGGAGCCGTCCCTATGAGTGACGTCAGGGAACTCCCCTTTCGCGGTAATTGCGTAGGAGATACGACGGAGTTCGCGGATGGTCTTTGCGTTGGGCATGCGCGAACTCGACCTGGTGACGGCAGGTGCCGACGTAGACCCTCGTCCGCCACGAGAACTATTTCCACTCGCAAAGCCGCGACCTCCACGCGGCGTAATGCCTCCCCGCGCAGATCATCCTCGCAAAANCCCCATAGCGTACGCGTATTCCGTGAAACCAAAGGAGCCGTCCCTATGAGTGACGTCAGGGAACTCCCCTTTCGCGGTAATTGCGTAGGAGATACGACGGAGTTCGCGGATGGTCTTTGCGTTGGGCATGCGCGAACTCGACCTGGTGACGGCAGGTGCCGACGTAGACCCTCGTCCGCCACGAGAACTATTTCCACTCGCAAAGCCGCGACCTCCACGCGGCGTAATGCCTCCCCGCGCAGATCATCCTCGCAAAAATCCACCACGAGCACCTCGGCCACCACGAGACAAACCGCGCCCACGCGCAGATCCACCCCGCGATACAGCACTAGACGTAGCAGGACCAGAAAGCAGACGGTAGCTCCCCGTGGAGAACACCCAAGCTGGTAGATGTGTGTGTTCTCCACAGTGCTCGACACCAGCAGAAGACGCAGAAGACGCAGTCGCCGCAGGCCTCCACTCACACACAACCAAGGCTCATAACCTATTATGGATATTATGTAATACCCTGGCACAGTGGTGTAGAGGCTGTGTCGTCGACGTTAGTCGAGGTGATGACACGTGCGAGGGGGTAGCCTGGAAGACGAGAGTCCTTCCACGGAGTGAAGAGGATGTTGAGATATTGGAACACTGGCGCTTAGGTGGCCAACACCATCCGGAAGGATCACACGAGAGAGTGAGCTACTCGGCTACCAAGCACCACGCAGAGAATCCTGCGAGAGTTATTCCTCCGCATACACATACGTATACGTTACATTCGAACCGACATTCGAACCGACACAAATGAGATCTACGATATACAAGAGCAGTGCTACAGAATATTGACTCATGCTGGCTATGTGCTAACATTTCCATAACAATCTCCATACACGCAGCGTAAACACAGCGTGGCATGCACCCAGCAACACGATACCACGAGCACCAGAGGGAGGAAACGCCATGTAAAATCCGGCAACCCCCCCTGCACGCGTGCAAGAATATTTGTCGGGGTCCCCGCCCCCCCCCCCGCCCGAATGAATCTGAAACTAATTGCTGTTGGGGTCACCCCCCACCTTTCCTGCGTTCTTACTTAACGCCCGTGTTTGGGGGCTCCGTTCTAATCTGTATGCTCATTGTTACACTACAAAGGCGGGTACTAGTCTAGTTCTTATCCGTCGGAAATGAGCACATGTTCTTATGACCATGTTCTTAAAGTTTGTTTTTTTTGAGGCTCAAGTTCTTAACTGCTAATTTCTTACAACTAAGTGGTGGCGCGTTCTGCATAACGCTGGGAGTACGCCGCCCGATTTCTTTTTTTTTCGTCCCATATCTGGCGCCGCCTACTTACTCCTCTTCCGTACACACTACACGTTTGCCGCGTATGTGCACTTACACTTGTCAGCGTACTTGATACATTACAACTAGCTAGACGCACCGTCCGGGGTCACACAGGAGGGGGTAGTCACGCCGGGGTTCCTTCTTTTTATCTTCTTTTGTCTCCACCTACCTCCTGCGGTGCCTGCCTGAGATATTTTTTATCGCGAGAAGGGTACAGCAATCCCTTCGCTCGCGACGGCTAAGTCGATGTCGACAATGAAGTCGATCAGTTCACTAACAATGAGCTTTCCAGCGCGCCGCTTCCAACTTAGACCATAATATATTTAGAGAGAAAAACTCACTATGCCGGGACTCGAACCCATGACCTGGCCCTTAGTAGGCTGCGAGGATACCCGCCCGAATGTGACTTCGCATCTAATGTGACTACTGTCAACATTATCATCAGCAGGGTGTCGTTCTGAATGGTGTAGTCTCTAGCCTTTCGTCTTCGTCTCGCGAAGAACGTGCTGTGGGATGCAGGCATACTACGCACGTTTTGCGCGAGGGGATCTGTGCGGCCGTTCGACAGCCTGTGTCCTCACAAGTGCTAGAAAAACTTCACTCGACATGTAGCTCGGAAGGCAGACTTGATACAGATGGAATGTTACAGCTTTGCGGGCCGCGGAGGTATGACGCGTCAATAGCTGGGTGTGAGTTCCAGTCTTGGGCGCATTCCAGCAACAGCGCCGCCGACGCTTCCTCGTAGAAGCATTTGTCAAAATGCCGAGTACGTCGCGAAGAAAGTGATACTCAACGCACGGGGTGCGCAGCCACACAAATGTAGCAGGTAGACCAAGTTAAGGATCCTTAACCGGGAGCTTTTTTCCCAGTGCTGCTATCAAGATACCGAAGTAGCCGCAATAACGCTACGCTTAGTCTTAGTCTTGTTGCGATCAGCCTACAAAACTTAGAGACCGCATTACTTCGACCCAACGAAGTCGGTGTCTACGTTTGACTAGTCGGAGCTCTGGTCGCAAGGCTCGCCAAGCTCTCTTCCGGTCTCTCACGAAAAAACGAACTCTCTGCGGTTCTGATAAAGCTGAGGCGCTTTTGTCTTCTTTCCGACGAATCGTGGCCGCCTCGTTCGTTCGATACCCGGGAAAGGCAGTCCGCCCGCGGCGCCCACGCCCAGCCCCATCTTCACGGGAAACACAGCAGCAGCAGCAGCAGCAGCAGCAGTGCAACAAAGCAACTGCGACGGATGAACTTCACAAGGAGAGCGAGATTGCGACTTGGCGGCCGTTCGACACACGCATACGTTGTCGTTTTCAAGAGTTGGTCCTACAATTGTAAGGTTCAAACGTTCGAATTTAGCACATGTCGCGACACCGAACCGAAACGCAAATAAACATATCCCAATGAACATTGAGCCCCCCCCCCC